TGTTCCTAGAGAAAACACATCTCTAGGAATTTGTAGTTAGTGTTGTCAGATGACAGAATATTCTTTTCATATCTGAAGAATGGTGGGTAATAAAATTACTTTTCTCCCAGCATGAAAAATGTGAGATAATTACAATGTCTTGTCTCTCACAAAGGGGGGCTGCCATTTACATCCTCTGAGGCTGAGACAATGTGACTTGCTCAGGGGATAACAGGATTCTGCCGCCCTGGTGGCACACAGCATCAGAAGATGTTTCTTCAGAGGGGTTGCCATTTACATCCTCTGAGGCTGGGATAGTGTGATTTGCCCAAGGGGATAACACAATTCTTCACTGTCTCAGCCTCAGAGGATGTAAATGGCAACTCCCTCTGAAGAAACATGCCCAGAAAACCCTGTGATTGGTTTTCCTAAGAGTTACCATAAGTTGGTAATGACCTAGAGGCACACAACAACTACAAGATGAAGCATTAAACTCTCTGAAGAAGAAGGGAGTTGTAGTTCAATTCAATTAGGGTTTCTTAGTCAAGGAATATCAAACCAGAAGTAGTTTTGACAGTTCCTTCCTCTAAAATAGAACCTTCAGCAGCACTTCCATAAGCCTCACTTCCTGGAAGTCCCACCTCCTGCATTGGGTAACACTCCGGCTGGGAATACCACTGCATACACCCACAACAACCATCATAGAAATCACACTCTCTCAGCCTCAGAACAAGCCTTGCCAAGAGAACATCGTGATACGATCACTCCCTTAGGATTAGAACCATAGTCTCCCATTCCACCATAGAAATCCAATGAGTGACCTTGGAGAAGTCACATGCTCTCAGCCTCAGGGGAAGGCAATGGTTCCTTTCCCACTCTAGAATCTTAGGTTGGACTGGATGACCTCTGGGATCCCTTCCAATGCTAGGATTTCCCCATAGCAGAATTCCTGCTTGGCAAAAGATAATTATCACTTCAGCCCATCCCTGCCCCTATTCTCTTCTGTGAGAATTTGAATGGGAGGGCAGAAGGAGAAAGGTACCAAAATGACCATGAGCCGCAGAGGAAAGCAATGTAAGCCCCCTTCACTTTGAACTAGCCTTGCCAAAAGGACCTCAAGGTAAAGTTGCCATAAATCAGAGGCAGCTAATCATGGGAGATTTAATATTTCTTACCCCCTTTTATTAACATTTCCAGGGGCTGTTCATTTGTTAAGGTAATGGAGCTTTATTTGATGGCCCTTGGGGATCCCTTACAATTCTAGCGTTCTCTGTATTTCTGCTTGCACCTTCAAGAAGCTCATTAACATATGAGGGCCCTGTGAATTTCCTAGGGTTTTCTTATGTAAGGAATCCTGAAAGATGATTTTTCCAGTCCCTTCAATTGAAAGCTAGCCTACAACACCTGGTATTCCTTGGACGTCTTCCATTCAGTACTAACCAGGGCTGACTGGCCCTGCATAGCTTCCAAGCTCCAGATGTTGAACTGCAGCTCCCAACATTTCTCAGCATTGACTACACCAGCTAGGGTCTGTCGGAACTTGCAGTCTAACAACAGCTGGACTCCATAACTCAGTTCAGTGCAGCGTATGTGCTGAAAATAGTAGGGTAGAGAAAGAAAATTAGAGTTTGGAAAAAGTTTGGATTACAGCTCCTACAAACTTTCTTCTAGCTATAGAATAAATCTCACAGCTTTACCTTCATTAGTGTGTGAAATTCACACCCTCTTGCACCTCTGCAGTTCTATTGCCATGATGCCATAAAGCAAATGAATGAGCTTCAAAAGGATTTTCCCCATCTCTTTTCTTCATTTGCAAGAAAACCATCCGTAAATTCTCACTTCTAGGTGATCAGGTGGCACATTTCTCAGTTCCTACAGAAAGCCATTAAAGGGGCTGAGAAATCCACAATTCTTGTGTTTATCAAAACCATGATGAGCAATAATCACATCACTATTTGTAGGTCCTCCAGCTTGATTCTGTGATCAACTTGTGGCAGATGCTGACCATAGAGTTGCACTTGAGGACCTGGAGATTCCTAGAGAGGTGTTCTCTTAGGTAAAAAAAGAACAGTGTTGTTTTTTATTTGCATTTTTTCCACATTCATGGGGGTCCTGTGCCCCTAACCCCAGTGTATGTGGAGAGACCATTGTAATATGTAATTAAATAACTGATTCCCAGCACAACCCCAACCCCCCATCCCAACTTATTGGGTAGCAGCCATTGTGAAAATGAGGGTCTGTTTCCCTGTCACTTGAGAAGCTGTTGTCTGGCATTTCCCGTTAGCAATTTTGTTGCAATAGGCTGAAGCATAGTCCTTGTCAGTTTCCCCTTTCCCTGGAGATTGCTCGAGTTGTTGGGGTGGAAACATCAGTTTTCTGCTTCCCAGTGAACAGGAGAATGGACCCCATTGATCACAGTGGCTGCTGCCCAGTAAATGAGGACTGGGGGATTTTCATGGTCTTTATGTATCCCCAAAACTAAGCAATAGGTACAGACTGTGAATACAAAACAGTCACGAATGCTTCACTCTAGTTTATGCCTTTGTAACTGCCCAAGTGAATTCCAGCAATTAACTTTTAAAAAACATAATTTCCACACCAAAAATTCTATCTCCTATTGAAGCTTGAAATCAAGATTTCTGTAATATATAAAAGGTATATATCATAAAGGTGGCACCATATGTGTACTCTCTTACACTTCTCCACTGGCCAAACAATACTGGAAGGCATAGCTTTTGGGAAATGGGAGAAAGTACTGACTCTATCAAGCAAAGGGGTCAAATTATTCCAGGAGAATTAGCACACAACCAGTCCCATGCCCATAGGATCAAGCAGAGAAAGAAACAATCTCTCTCTCTCTCTCTCTCTCTCTGTAAAACATATAGGAAGAAAATAGGTGTTGAAAAGCTGACTAACAAGAAGTCACCAGAAAGGAAGCTAGCAGCTAAGCGTGATAAGATTGCTAACTCTAACAATGTGTATGCACATACATATAGACATTTCTTGCATGGGGAAGAGAGAAGAGGAACAAAGCACTGGCAGCTGGCAGGTGTAGCCTGTGTGAAATTGGAACTAATTTGATCACTGCAGTGACTTGTTTCTGGGCTCTTACCATGGTGCATTTTGGACATTCAGACACTGGTCATTGATCATGGTACTTGTCATTTATTAAAGTGATGAGGAAGAAGGCTTTGGCTGCAATGTTGGCCTTTAGTCTGAAAAATGCTCTCTCCATGTGTCCATCTCAGTTCCCAACTATTTACCTTCAGAAGAAGATATTTTGTTCTATGGATGCTTTGGGAGAATCAATAGTTTATTTTTACTAGCATATTGCTTTTATATTTTCTCCTATTCCCCTTGTTAAAATAGATTTTGGATGTTTATGTACTACAATATTTTATATAAAGTGCTCCAGGCACCAATTACTACAGTATTTATCTGTTTATCAGTCTGACTGCTTTTTAGCAGAATAGTACTAAAGCTATTATCACTTTGAATATATGAAGTGGAAGCCAGTGCTAGATAATCTTGCAGTGCATTTACTATAATCAGGGAGAATAACAAGATAACAAATTAAAGCACAGGGCTATAGGATTGCACAAAATAGCATCAGTCATCCAAATTAGATAAATGTAGCAATGAAAGAGCAGAGATCAACATCAAAATGCTGCACCTTTTGTACTTCCATAGCAACAAAGATTTAGAAGTGATTGGCTGAGTTGTAGATGTGCTAGAGAATGTTATTAACATTCGAAGTGCTCATTCTTCCATACAGTGATTCTTGAACTTTGTTCTTCCAAGTGGGGCTCTTATAAGCCCCAGCCAGCTTGGTTAACAGTCAGGAATGCTGGGAGCTTAAGCTCAAAACATCTGGAAAACTAAAGTTTGGAAACCACTGCCTCAGAGTATCAACATAAAATGGTTAGGAATGGGTGGAGCTATATATTGGTAGATGAAAGAAGAAAAGCAAAGGAGTTAGTAAGCATCACAATCATAGCAC